CATCTGTGGGCGATGCACTGGTCCCCTGACTTGCCCTGCCACGCCACTTCCTTGGTGACTCGCTCTTGGCCCTTGCCGACTCGGCAAAACGCAGGTCCTTAAGAGCTTCGCGCCGCTGCTTCTCCTTATGCTGCAGCACGCGGATCTGTGTCCGGAAGCACCAATCATGGAAGCCAGCAGCCGTACCGTCGTATATGTACGATCCGCTTTTGGTTTCTGCAGGGCTCAGGTTCTGTGACCAGAGATTGGGCTGGTAACGCAAACCTGCCACGCTCATGGCTTCGAGGATAGAAGGGGCCTTTGCGCCGCGACTATCACTACACTACCCAACGGACCCCGGACCACAGGCTCAACGGGGGTGAAACACTAGTGGTTGTCCTCACAGCTCCGCTACCAGTTTGAAGCAGGAACTGGATTAGTGAGTGTCCAACCACACAAACGAGCACACTTTTTGGTCTGAGCCCAAGACGTCTGTCGTACAGGGTGCGTTCAGAACTAACACAAAAACTACGCTCGCATGAGGACATGTCAACACGGCGCTTCAAGACAGGGAAATTTCACAATCCTAAACCTCAACTGCGCACTGCCAAAGCCGAAGTCGACGTAGCCTTCCAACAAGCAACAGAGGGTTTTGGCAAGGCCACCAACGCACGAATGCCCATGCACATACAATCTGCAATGCGTTGCTGCATGCAGATTGCAGATGGAAATACTGCATGCAGGCACACATGCACACACCTCCTCCACGGGATAATCAGTCAACTAACCACCCCTCAAGTATTCATGTAGTGTATACATACGTACATACATACGTACATACATACATACATACGTACATGCATACATATATATATATACCTCAATACATAACTAGAGATGTACATATATACATATATACAAAAATACATGTATGTGTGTCTGTATATACATATATATGTACGAATCACAGCTTCGTCAGGCTTAGTCTTGAAGGCCAAGATGCGAGCAGGGGTTTCATGCTGTCTCGAGCTTTTCGCAGCCTCTCTGTCCTCTGGGCCACCGGCTTGTCCAACCTCCCATCATCACAGCCGCAAAAATCAATGCATACGATACCCATCAAGAATTTGCAACACGCAACATAGATCGCATTGCATACATCACAACTAACTTGCTTCATCCTTAAGACATGCTTGAAGAAGCTCGAGCAGTTCCCTAACATAGCCGAGCAGCAGATCATTCCTGGCTGTGGGGCTGCTAGGTCCGCTGGCCATTCAGCAGCACCAAGCCCCGCAAAGCTGTCACAACAGTTCAGGGCCAGGGACCCTAGTGTTTCATGAAAATCTGAGTCACTCTTGTTAGTCGGTTGGGAAACTGCGCTCGTCAAATCATCTGAGTCCGGGGATTGCATCAAGTTAAAGAACGGTACGGCTTTGATATCCGCCTTGATGTTGAAAGGCGAAAGTCCACTCAAATGCCTTCTTTGAGCTTCAAATGCTGCACAGCAAGTTTAGTCCTCAAAAGAACGCGGTCTCTTGGCCCCCACGACGGTTCGCAAGCGATACTAAGACCCGATTTGGATTGGTCGACCAGCCGGCATTATGGATGCAAAACTCGGGATAGATGGATGCAGTTCGCGACGTGAACTGAGCTGCACTGCCCTTTTTCTCGAGACAAGCCAGCCGAGTCGCCACTCAATCAGTAGGTGGCTTGTTGATATTCTCGGATTTCGGCCGACCATACTTCCAGAAGAATCTCCTCAGAAGCGCCAGCCACCGCACAATTTGAGCTTGCGCCGCGGAAGACCACCAGTGGAGGGCGGCACCGGACTGCGACACCCTGTGCGGGGACGTCCTGCCTGGCTTTCTTCCAGGGGCTTCCAGCTCGGCACACCCTGAGGCTGTCTGCGCACTGCCCCACCACGCGCTTCGGCCCGATGTCGTAGTGTCTTTGCCGCACTCGCGGGCCTCGGAGCGATTGGCCGACGAGCCGCGCCGTTCTTCCGGCCTGAGTGGCATTTCTTGCAACGGTAGCAAAGCGCCGTGCTTGGTTTGCACCCCACCATTGGCAAGAGGTCACCCTTGTTGCAGGCTGTTAGGCACTGGAAGTCGGGTTCCGTCGTCCGCACCTCGCAGGTGACGCAAAGCGCGTCCGAACAGCCGTGCTGAAGGCTCTTCCCGAAGTACGACCAGCGATCATCGAAGCCGCTTCACCTTCAGGGCCTCGGGGATTTCATGTTTCTATGCTTGGATCACTCCCATCTACAAGACACGCCAGGGACTAGCTGAGTTCCCGGCTTGTCTCCATGCTTCGTGGCTACCCGGACCGCGGACTTTATGGACTGGGGCCAGTACTCAACGAGTAGCTATCGGGACCAGAAAGCGATCCTTCCAAAAATAAGTGCATCCAGGTCGAGGTGTGCAGGCCACTTGCTCGTGCTCCACTTTCGTGAAGCCGGCATCCCGCAGCTTGGGGACGGTCTCAAGCCGGAAGGAGCGCACACATTCGATCCAGTTCCGCCCTGCATCGAAGTAGAAGGTGAAGATCCCACCGGGCCTTAGGAGCCTCGCTGCCTCCACGAAGAAAGCGCCAACCTCCCCGTCTCCAGCAGCCTCCCCGGGCGAAAGTGGGTATGCATCGAAGAGGATACCACCGAAGGTGCCGTCCGCCATGCTGCCAACGAGGTCCTGCCAGAATCCTCCCAGGACGATGGTTGGGCACCTCAGGTGCCACAAAACTTACCTTTGGCTAGTAGGGAATGGAAGAATGGTAGTACAGTAATAGTAGTTATAATTGTACCCCGTTCCTCCATTCCCTAACCAAAGGTAAGAACAGCTCAGGGCCGTTGGACTTTCCGCTCCGGCCGGGGCACGTGGCTTCCTCTGCCCACAGCTCGGCACGGCCGAGGACCTCCGAGTTCGCCTCCAAGATCACATGCCCTTCGACGCCACGTTGATCCTCAGATGCCAAGGAAATCTTCAGAATGTCTTGAGGTTGCTCGGTGTGTGCGCGCCGGTTGCAGCACTATCGGGCAGGCACTATGGCTTTTTGTACCTGCACCCGTGAACGACGAGTTGCAATGGCCGCAGCAGAGAGGCCCAGCCCGTAGCCAACCTGATCCGAGAAGGCATCGGGCACCGGGACAAAGCTAAACCCCGGAAAGCCGTGGCCTCCAGCACTGGCCCCGGCACCGACGTCGCCACGGCAGCCAGAGCATCCATGTAAGGCGCTTCCCAGTCCTGGAGACCCGAAAAACCGTAGAGCTGGCAAAAACCAACGGCAAAAGGCTCCTCCATGACATCGTGACCGAGGATGGAGAGGCCTGCTTTCTAGATTGTCTTGAATAAGCTTGAATAGATATGCATATTCGGTACCTACTCGATGACCACTGCGAGATTGCACCAGCGCACGCACAGCAAAGTCCCGGATGCTCTCTTGCCTTGCCCCCCTCCAGGCAAAGTCCTCTGACAAGCACGGCAAATCGATGCTGACAACTCACACAAGTTTTGGGGTTTACGGCTTAGGAGCTCTGGTTGTTCAGTTCTGACCTGCAGGGCATTTTTGACTGCCCCGCGCTGTTGCTTGACTTGTGGACCAGCTTCTGCTGCGGCATGTGTTGCGCAAACATGCCCGGTACTCCTGAAGTCAGCTGCTGCCTCCTCCCAGGCTGCGCGCGACTGCGACTCAACTTCTGCAGTGGCATCGGCTGCATCCATGAAAGCAGGTCGATCGTGCAGCACTTGCAGTGCTGCAGCACTGTTACCTTACCTAGGAACCGAAGACAGGAGCACGTACATCTCAATGGAACCTTTTGAAGAAATCTAGGTACAAGCCCCCAAGACTCAACGACTGAACAATCGAGAGTCTTTCAAACATTGAAACAGAAACAGCTGCAGCGAGACGACTGCTGACAGGCACTTCTCCCATGTCAGTCTTGGCCTTGACTCGTCGTGGCAATTGTGATGCCAGTACGAACACTGGATATACTCGGTCAGACACTCCGTGTTGCCATCAACATGCACAGACACTAATACAAAGCCCTTACGCAGGCGCAAAAGCAAAACGCGCATAGTGCCGCAGCAGCATGGCTTTGCTACAAACGATGATACTAGTATCGGCGCCGAGATCGGCAAGAGGCTGTACACCTGCTGATCAGGCGCCATCCAGTGTTCAATCAATTGCCACTGACGACTGACGACTGTCTTCTCCCTTCGAAGCTAGATTTGATCAAACCGCACTTACTTGCACCCAGCTGAGTTGCGAGACCGTTTCAGGCACATGCACCATGATTGCGCAGGAGTTGCCCGACCGTTCTCAGCGAAACTTAGAGCCCACTCTTCCCCAGCTTTCGCCACTGCTTGCACAGATCGTTCTGAAAGGAGACGCAGATTTGGCTGCATGCACACGACGAACGGCAACGGATTCTGTCGCCCGGTACTCACGAACAAAGATGACTAGCATAGCGAGCACACGCTTCCACGCACCCTGCCATAGGCGCAAATGCAGCGAACAGCAATCCAAGTTGGAGAACTGTACTCAATCTTCGGAAGTTTTAATGTGGTGTGATCACAACTAGTTCCCCTTCAGTCTTCACAACAAGGACAAGAACAGCGTCGGTAACTCTAGAACTCCTTCCTGCCTAATGCTGACGCGAAAGGTTGACAATGGCGAAAATGAAGTCCACCTTCAACACCTGTTACTCCTAGCTGCTTTGGAACAAATCAATCCTGGCGGCTAGCAGCCAACAGCTTCCACGATGACTCAACAACCTCAAAATGACTGCAACATCAAAGCTCTTCTTTTTCTTTGCGGATTGCGTTTTGCAGGCAGCAAAGCGGCAGTGCTGCGTGTGAGCAGAAATTGCCACTTTGCCGCGGTCCTAGGACCTAGGTCAATTTCGCTATGTGCTTGGCAAGCTGCGTGACTTCAGCGCAAAAAACGCAAAAGGTACTGTTCCATGAGTACAGGACGTGCTGGAGTCACTACATCTGCCAGGAATTCCCTGCCCTCAAGGCCTCTGCCATTCAGGGCACCTGCGACTTCACCCGTGTAAGCTCCTGCAAGAGAAAGGCGGTCGTCTTGATGGGGTGCAGCCCTGTAGGGGCCTTTATGATTACCCATACTATTGTAGGGGTTCCTTATTATAAGTATAGTATCATGGGCCCCAACAACCCTATTCTCATTAATCCGGCCCCTATAGCAAAGTGCAAGCATGCATATGAATGTACATATGCGTCTCTCTGTTTCTCTTTCCTTCGCTCTCTTCTTGCGTTGTCGGATTTCTTTCACTGGCACTTCTGGCCTTCATCAAGACACTCATTTGTATCTCGATATTCTTCAGCTGGCCGGCCATCTTGGAGACCGTTTGGACCATGGAGTCCTGATGCCACAGGCTTTAAAATGGACTCGGAGGGTCGGATGGCTGTTTCTGCGGCACCTTGTCTCCCGGATCGTACTCGATGGACTTGCCATCGCCCTTCTCCTGACGATGCAGCCCGAGCCCGCAGCACTGCGTTAGCCATTCCTTCGATGCAGCTCGGCAGTTGCCTTCTCCTGATCTTTCTCTTTGTTAGCAGCTGCGTCGTCGCCTGCAACTTTAGGTGGAAGGCAGCCTTCAAGCAAACGTTCCAACCCCCTGCCTTCGTCGTTCTCCTTTTCGGGCTCCTCGGCATCGCCACTGTCCTCAAAAAGACAGGCAAAGATATCCGTCTCAGCTCTCACGCACGAGTTCTACGGACGAAGCGGAAGGCAGTCCCCGGCCAATCGCTTCTTCAATGCTTCGTACCTCTCCTTCATCCCCTGAAACCTCCCAGCCGCCGGGTTTAGGGTTTAAGGTTTAGGGCTTAGGGTTTAAGGTTTAGGGTTTAGGGTTTTAGGGTTCAGGCACTCTTCGCCATCGCAAGAAGATAGCGATGCAGCGAGGTACTGCGAACCACTGCAGCTAGCAGGCCTCTTCTTGGCTTCTTCTGTTCCACCGTTCTTATCCGGATGCATCTTCTTCGCAAGTTTGCGGTACCTCACCATGACCGGACTGCAGCCGCTTGTCAACCCAGAGACGCCAATATCCTTTACTTAAGGAATGTACCGGAATGTACCTTAAATATTAGGAGGACCCCTAATATGATTTACGGAATATTCCTTCTTTAAGGGATGTTGGAGTCCCCGTAACCCTAAACCCTACAGATCCCTTATAGATCCCTTCAAGGAACCCTATGCATTCCTTAATTCAGGCCCTCTTCGAGGGCCCGGCGCGTTGTCCAGGTCCCGCTCCGTGGCGTCGCAGCCGAGGCCGAAGAAGGCGAAGTTCGCCTGCTCCCCGAGCCTCGGTAATAAAGGGGCCCTAAAAATTAGAATAGGGTTCCTTCAAAGGGATCTGTAAGGGTTTAGAGTTTAGGGGTTTAGGGATTAGGGTTTAGGGATTAGGGGCCTTAATCTATAAGGGTTCTGTGAGGGTTCCTATAACGATTCTGTAAGGGTTCCTATAAAGGGGACTATGAGGGCTACTAAAAGGGCTATTATAAGGACTTAACTTCGGGGCCTTAGTAATCAGAATAGGCTTCCTTTAAAGGGGTCTATATAAGGGTTACTATAAGGGATCGATCCCTTATTTTTGCTAGTGCCGTGAGCGCGCTGTCGGAACGCTCTTTGGCGCGTGCTCTGCAACTTTCAGAGACCTGAAAGTTGCAGAGCACGCGCCAAAGAGCGTTCCGACAGCGCGCTCACGGCACTAGCAAAAATAAGGGATCGATCTATAAGGGTACTATAATGTAAGCGCCTTAATTATTACCTATACTAGGATCCTCAAAGGGGTCTACAAGGGATCTATAGTAATGGTGTTCTCTATTAGGGGCCTTCCTTTATACCTCTACTATTTTCGGGATTCCTTATTATAATTACAAGTTATAGCATAATGAGCCCCAAAACACCAGAGTTCTGCAGAGAGTCCCCGGAAAAAAAAAAAAAAAACGGGGCTTCGGCTTCTCGAGCTCGGAGAGCCGGCTGTGATAAAGCTGGGAGTTTTCCAGCAACCGCTGACCGACCTCATGAGGGCTTTAGATGGGAGTTTCCGAAACTTAGGGCTCCTTTAAGGGTTCCTTAAAGGGATCTATAAGGGTTCTATGAAGGGTTTAGGGTTTGGGAGTTCCCGAATCCTAGGGGTACCTTATTCGGGTTCCGTGAAAGGGGATCTTTAAGGGTTTAGGGTTTCCGAAAATTCGGGGTACCTTATCTTGGGGTCCTTGTAACAAGGATTCCTACTGTTTAGGGTACTTTAACGAGAGCTGCTTCTACTGAAAGCAGTGCGCAAGCAATCTTTTTCAAGGTGGTGTCTGCTGAAAGTCAACACTTGAACCAAAACGGACAGCACACATCGTTAAAGTGTGATGCGTGCATACATGACATATTAGGGTCCCCGACTTTTGGAAACTCCCAGATTGGCATCTCGCATCAAAAACTCGACCAACCGTGAACGAAAATGCTCAGAAAGGAATACGATCTCTCCCCTGCGCTCGGATTCAGCTCAACTTCTCGCAATGGCAGCATGACAGCTGCAAAGGCTAGGGACAAATAGCCCGCAGGGCCAGAAGCTACCAAGTGCCCGGGCCTCGTGAACTAGCCCACGGAGCTCAGTCGTGGAGAGGCCATCGAGATACCTGGCACTTGCCGGCATAAACCTGAAATTCTGAAGTACTTACCGCAGGTGCGGACTTGGAAACGTCGTCTGTCACGGAGTTCAGCAGGGTGTCGACATCTCCATCATCGAAGGCTCGGTAGGCTCCGGTGTCTTGCCTCACCTTTCTTCAGCAAAAAGCACGGTTTGCTTCAAAGCCCTTAGTAGTTTGCCGAGGACATGGCCAAGGTTCGATTCTGGCTGGTCTCCGGATCCTTGACCCTCATGATCAAAGGCCGGCCGAGCCTGAAATAAGATCGCCAGGACTGCGAAAGCAGAACGACAGGAGCAAACGTCTCAACAGTACTTCGTCCGAGCAGCTCATCGTAGGCTACAGGTTCCCCTTTGGGCAGGCCTGCGCAAGAGTATCACGTCCCTAGGATCACGACGCTCCCCGGCATATGCATGTACGCTGCTTCCCTGACCCTTTTCAGATGGATCCCAGGGAGTTTGCGGTGCACAGTAGAGGTGCCTGACAAAGCATTGTCTGGAGCTTCAGCATCCTGCCCAGATCCACCTGCAGGCCGAGATCCCGAAGGGCTCTCTTCACATTATTACTATTATTACAATTATTACTATTATTACTATTATTACTATTATTACTATTATTACTTTTAGTACTTTTATTATTATGAAAGCCCCTTCAACTGAGGGATGAGGATAAGACAAGGCTTATAAGAGCTGCGACCACGTTTTGCCTTTGGTCGGGCTGGTCGTCGCTTCACAGTGGACGACGGCCTTCGCACAACGAACATTTCCCAAGGCCAGCTTTCTTGTCCATCAGATGCCTGTCTGGTGCATAGTAGGGAATGGGGGAATGGATCCCTTTAGTAGTCCCTATATAGTCCCCAATAGTAGTCTCCATAGAGCGAGCTCACTCGCACTAATGGAACACGACAAGAACCAACTTATATGACACGGGCTCACCTCCTCAATGCTCTCCACCATAGTACCACACTCCGGGCATTTGAACCAGGATTTGCCCTGGCAAAGGGCGTGGAGAGTGTGGTAGAGTGCAGAACTGGCTTCACTATGGAGCGATACAGCACATCGTGGAGTTCCGGAACATTTCAGCGCATGCATGGCAACCTGCCCGAAAATCCGGATCTTTTCGGTGGACCTGCCTGAGGCGTTCGCTCTGGACTGGCGGGATCCTGTCTCATCTTGCCCACTCTTCTGACACCAGAAACCATCACGGTGCGCCATGGTGTGCCGACATCTCTACGCACTGTGACCCAATATGCTTACTTTAGCCTTTCTCAAGTTGTCCAAGCCCGGATACGCTGCTCCGGATAGCCTCCGGGGCAGGAGTGTCCACGATAATCCGAGCCTGGGCTTGACACTGCAAAGGTCTCCCGGCAAAGGTTGCAGTTCCTGCGGTTGGGCCCCAACACGCTGCGGTGAGGGCTTCTCTTTCGAAGACTTGCGTGGTGAAGAAGACCTGGCTTACCGAAGGTGAAGGCGCAGACAGGCCGTACTGGTAGCGTCAAGCTGTGGCCCGGGCGTGGAGGGGCAGTGGCCGTCTGCAAATCCACCGATCACTTTGGGCGCCTCTCCGCCCAGGACGATGTTGGGGGCCGCACCTGCACTGGCTTTCGGGCACACGGAAGAGCCCCGCATCGTGCAGTGCCTCTGGGCTGAAGAGGCTGCTGCCTGGAAACCTCCTGCCCACAGACACACTTACGAAAGCAACAGCACACCGACTTTACCTGCATGTGACATTCATCGTCCCAGAGCCTGCTCTGCCTCGCGCAGGAGCACAGAGGCGTTCTCTTGCTTGACGCCATTCACGCCGCCCAGAATCCGAGGGGCTGGGAATCTCACGGCCTCGAACTCAACATCCCCGCCCTTAAGTCCCATCTCTGCTCCGCTGCTCCGCTCGGCCAGGCCTGAGCTGATGCGGCCGTTTCCTGCTGAGCTGCCTTGGAGACGCCGTTGGTGCTGGGCACCGACACCTCCAGAGAAGCTGGCACAGGTGCAGACATTCGAGATCCTATCATGGATCATCTGCCTCCTTCAGAGGCTCCGTGCTCTGCACCGACGATGACACGCTTGGCACCGGTAGGGTTACGACGCGCGCCTGATTCCGGCGTTGAAGCTCATGTTGAGACTCTGCAATGAAACATGTGAACTGCATCTGTCGCCGTGGCTGTCTGTCGGCATGCTGGCATCACCATCAAACTGTATCGACTCCACGTTCATTTCGTACAGTTGCACCAACCCCTTGAGATCGTGCCACTGCGGCCTTGTCCATGGCAGCTTGCTGCAAAGCCGCACCCTGGCCGATCCTGGTCGGGTATAGTGCTACCTTGTACTTCTTGCCGGATGGTCGACAAGCCACAGGGGGACTGAAGCGAATCAATCCAAAAGCAGCAGGAAGGACACCACACAGACACGCAAACTCACGCGTGCACACAAACGTAGACACCACGTCCGGTCCTTAATCGAGAGTCCTCAGCCGAGATCCATATTCCTGTGCCAAAGCTCATGGATAACGAGATCTGGATATGATCATGCACCTTCCTCGTAGGACACAAAGGCTTTTTGTGTGCAGCCATGCAAGTCACAAGAGACCAGATGCCAAGATAAGGTGCTTAGCATATAAGACGGATTGAAGTAAGCTTTTGCGTAATATAGTTTATTACAATATATTGTAGTATATTACAGTATATTGCAGTGTACTGCAGTTTACTCTGGTCGACTATGGTAATATACTCCAGCACATCATAGTACATCTTACAGGTACATGTTATTTTAGTGTATAGTATGCTATAGGTATGGTATGTTATAGTCGTAAGTCAGTATGCCGGGCCTGGCTTCTTGTCTATCTGCACAGCCCCTTTCTGCGGATCGGCCGCGACCACCTCAAGGTCAGAACGGTCTAGGTTTAGGTTAAGGGTTTAGGTCTGGGGCTTTAGGATTTTAGAAGTTTCAGGGGTCTAGGGTAAAGGCTTCTAGGGCTTTAGGGCTTTAGAAGTTTCCGGGTTTAGGGTTCAGACTTCATGTCATTACTGACATCAGTTCGAAGTCTTGCACGCGGCATGATCACACTGAGATCGCAACTCTCGCATTGATCCATTGACCATGCGTGGAAGAATGGTAGGACACGCGGGGGTATGAACCTCGCAAGCTCCGGGAGACCGTCTGGGCTTATGAAGGAACTCCACTGCCCTTCGAAGTTCGTGTTTCCAAGAGCTCGGGGCATGGCTTTTTGAAGAAGCTTCCCTGCACTCAGGGACACACCATGCAAGTCAGGACAGGAAATGGATCCGGTGCAGAACCACTCGCCTTGTTCAAGAGCATCCCCAGACTTATGCAAGTCAAAGATTATCCGGTCGCTGTAAGCTAGACTACTATATCGCGGCTACAACAGTGGAGTCGTCCAAAACGGCCAAAAACTGTCACCGTTGACGTCAGACCTCCAATGAACAAAGCTGGACAGAGTGTCGCCTCGCAGCGTTGTTCGGCTCCGCAGGTGGCCTCCAAACACACATAGAATCCCAAGAATCCTGGCTCTGAGGCAAAGTAGCCCACGACAGGAAGAGCGGAACCTGCTCCCTACCGACGGTGTAGCCAGCAGCCTGCAGCATCTATGGCCCATGGCATTTTGCGACATGAGCCCGACGAAATGGGTTTCTAGTTGAACAGATTTCGCTGGGTCAGGTGGGCCTGTGACTTTCGGTCAGAACGGTGGCGGCAGGCCTGCACGATCGGCTGCCGATGCATGGCCAAGCTTGTTGATCTTTGATTGAGAATGGAACACTAGCTGGTGGCGATGCCTGCCCTTGTCTGCAGCGACGCTCGAGAGTGACCTGCTGTCAAAGCACATCGCATATCGAAACGACTCACGGGCGGTCACGGAGAACCGAAACCAGGAGGAAACCTTTGCCTCTCAGCCGGAAGGTTAGCAGCGGCAGTCCTTGCAAAGCATCGTCTCGGGCGTGGAATCATCGGCTTCCGCGTCATAAATGACCAAGTCGACTATCATAGGCCTGATATATTGGCTTATAGGGCTTAGGATACCAAGATTCCACTGACTGGCGTTCCCTCTTCCGGCTCTGGGATGCAGAACAGACCCGGCCGACACGACGGCTGTTGAAACGATCTCCCTCCGTCCAATCCGTGCCTGCACGCGGGCCCGACCACATAAGATGCTCCGCTCGTGACACCTCGGGCTCTGCAATGCTCTTGAAGCGCTTTCATGACAATTCCGAGTCTGGCAACGCGAAGCCGAACACCCGAGCAAGGATGCTCTCCCCGAACCTGATCAACTCGGAGCTGGGGAAAGAGCGTGGCTGGCTATCGACGACGATCCTGCCAGGCAGTGCTCAAGCTCACATAGTGAGCCGAGTGCCGACGGTCCCCGAGATATCCCCAGCCAACCCTTCATCCCGACATGGGATCCTCCTTGCCGGATAGGCATGAGAGGGCGGCAAAGCCATGGCAGCTGTGGCCATGGTGAATGACGATGGCTGGAGCCAGGATGTGGGATGAGTCACGTGACACCGAGCAGGGCATCGAGAAAGAATGCTCCTGCTTCTCAACTTTGCAAGTCCAAAGGCAAGAGCTGCTGCTTGCAAAACCCGAATTTTTCCAATGCCTGCATATCACCATCAAGTGAGACTGGGGGGCTACATGGAGTTACGCAACAGAACTTCATGGCACCTCCGGCTGCCATCAAGGACGAAGCTGCTATGATCTTTCTTAGCAAATGAACTTCGATATTGCGCTCCGAAGGCCGACTCTGGGTAGTCTGTCGCGGTGTCATGGGGGGGCCTGGCATCAGCGACCAAGCTGCATGGACCAACACATGGTTAGCTCTTTAGAGTACTGTCCCTTGCTAGGCCACAATATAGTACGGCACCCCCAAAAAAAGGACCCTGAAAGGGACCCTAATTTAGAGAACTGCCCACATGAAGATAGGTATTCATTCTATGAACTGTCGCTATACCAACGGTCGGCATGTTGATTTCGATATGGGGCATCATCAACAGTAGCAGCAGCACGACTATGGGCTCCACCAGTGTCACTATGAGAACACCATCGTTGATGGCATCAACATCAACATCGAGATCTGCATCGTCGCATTAACCATTATTTGTGAGGTGCCCGTCATTCGCGTTAACATCGACATCATCACATCTGGCTCGTATGGCGATGATCATCGCTCCTGCAATCCTAACTAAACATATTCCAGTGGTGAAGACCATAAATAGCAGCAGCAGCGGTAGCAGTAACAGTAGCGCTAGGACTAGGGCTAGCAGTACCTGTAGAAATAACACTCATCGTCGTCCCGTCGTCATAGCAGTAGCAGTAGCAGTAGCAGTAGTAGTAGTAGTAGTAGTAGTAGTAGTAGTAGTAGTAGTAGTAGTAGTAGTAGTAGTAGTAGTAGTTGTTGTTGTTGTTGTGATAGTAGTACTATTAATTATATTGTAGCATAGTAGTCGTAGTCGTAGTAGTAGTAGTAGTAGCAGTAGTTGTTGTTGTTATAGTAGCAGCAGTAGCAGTAGTAACAGTAGTAGCAGTAGTGGCAGTAGTGGCAGTAGTAGTAGGAGTAGCAGTAGTGGCAGTCGTAGCAGTAGTAGCAGAAGTGGCAGAAGTAGCAGGAGTAGCAGGAGTAGCAGCAGTAGCAGCAGCAGTAGCAGCAGTAGCAGGAGTGGCAGTAGCGGAAGTAGTATCAGTAGCAGCACTAGGTAGGAGTACCCCTGCAGACGAGCAATCACACAACTTCGCAAAGAAGAGCGGGACAGCAGAAACGCTTGTGCTGAGTTGTCTTGGCAGGGTGCTTCCTCCGAAGTCGCTACTCGTGTTGGCCTTGCCCTTGATCTTCTTGCGCACGGCTCTCTTCATCGGCGGCTTCACCTCCTGCGTCCGAGATGCATCGCGGGCAGACGATGGAACCCTCGCAGCGGGGAGGTGAGCTTCAACTGATGCCTCGCTGGAGGCTGCTGGCTTTGCCGCCTCAGCACTGGCAGCCGCCTTGATGCACCAATTTCGGTGTCAGATCCGAACAGGATGAAACCAATGGGAGACCTAGAACACTGGAAAAATCATGACCTACAGTTTTGAACGCACCGATGCACTGTCACTGGTCATCTGCCGGCATTTGAAACACGCGCGCCACGGCTATTCAGGCATTTGGCACAACTCTAGTAGTCTTTCAGCTTCGGGCAGTAGCTGCCTCGACGCGACGCTGAACGGATGCCTGCCCATGCGAAGAAGCTATGGCCTGAATGTAGCAATACTCCTAGAATGGACACCTCCGATGAAAACCCTGGCCTCCGCGGCATGTGCAAAATGATGAACAATTCGCTTAGCGGCCTCGGCGTCGCATTGCATGGTGTATCAAACTCAGAGACCTGCTTTCCATGCCCTTCAAATGCTGCAGCCAACATGGGCATCGTGCCAAGATACCTTGCCAGACACAGGGCAATATCTAGTAACTGCAGTGGGCAGTCAATTCATACAGGCTGACATAGCTGCGGAGCACTATATGGGAGCTGCCGAAAATAAGGGCCCCTAACATAGTATCCCTCGTAGAATCCTCATTGTCATTGTCCTCACTGTAAGGACCCCGAAACAAGGTACCCCTAATTTTCGGAAACTCCCACATATTCCCGTATGGCTGTAAGGCCCGGGCGTCGACATCAACTCTAATTCTGTCCCGGGAAGCTTCCTTCTCGGCTGCCTTGAGCACTTTCACTGACATGCTGCTGGGATAAGAGGGTTTAGGGTTTCGGGTTTTGGGTTTTGGGTTCAGGGTTCAGGGTTTAGGGTTCAGGGTTTAGAGTTCAGGGCTTAGGATTTAAGGCTTGACTTTTAAAATTTAGGGCTTAGGGTTCAGGGTTTAGGGTCCAGGGTTTAGGGCCGTGGTGCCTCGTCTGCTGTTGCTCGGACTTTTTTGAAGTAGAGCTGAATTCGATCTAGCTCCTGTCACAGGCTGCTTGAAGGGAGACTCGGCTGTGATACCTTCACCAAAGCTCCTGCCGGATCGGATGGTCACTTGGGTCCACTCCTGGACAGGAGTGCAGCTGAAATTCAAGGATGAACCAACCGTTGATCAAAATGCGCAAGATCCCACATTCCTTGTGACAGGAGGTGGCAGAAATACAAGGACGCTGCAGCATAGGCAAGGCTCACCTTAGACATAGAAGGTGCAACTGGTGGAAATGGCCCACTCTGTAGCTTGATTATCTTTTGTGAATAAGTTGTACATGTGTATATATATATAATATGTACATCTACATGTATGTATATATATATGCATATTATAACCATTGAGCTCTCGTTCTATGTTCTACTTTGTATGATATCATCCAACGGACGACTGTCAATCCACGGCCAGCTTGATCTTCATATTACGTAAACTGCGGACTCTTGCCTGGAGCTCAGCATTCTCCAAGGCCCCAAGATGGCGGGCAACCTGAAACTACACTTCGTGAATCTCTCTAGAATAGCATTTAGGCTTTAGGGTTTAGGAAAGCTTAGGGTTTAGAAGTTTAGGGTTTAGCTACAGCATGAGTGCATTGATTCAAAATGTGGATGTTATCATCGGCTTTGCCAAGGAAGGGCGCCTCCTTCGGATTCTTCGCGAGAAGCGGAGCCAAATGGCTTTCAACCTGGCTTTCTCGGACTCCAGAGCTTTCCGAGGGGAGTATCACTTCCTGGGACCCGGACAGCTGACAAGGAGCTCTGAACGGCCGCAACCTCGGCCAAAAGATGCTTCCTGCTGCCACGTACTTGCATGGACAAAAGCAACGCCGCTCGGCCTTTGCGTGAGTTTCGGATGCAAGCAACGACATGGAAGCGCCGGAGAACTTGTACACTGCTTGCTCAGTCAACTTTCAGCTGAAAGGCAAGTGTTACTTGCATATGATGGATTTTGTTTGTCCTGGAAAGAGCCTGAGCTGTCGAAGCGCGTATTGCGAAACCGCAGCTTAAGACCTCAAGACCTTGAGGCACAGCCACGAAGCAAGAACTGCCGTTTTTCTCTCGCCTCTCTGGATTCCGGCGGGTTCGGAGCCTTCGGCCCGGGCACAGCCTGCGAGAGCTACGGGAGTAAGCCCTTGTCCCGAATGCAGGAGCGAAGCTGGCCTGCTTGTCGGAAGTCATCGTTCAGCTGTATCCAGCGTGGTAGGTATCCCCACGGGAAGGCTTTGAAAGTTACGACACATCGCGAATTCAACAGGCCAGCAACCCAAGAGAAGCCGCTAGGAGCAACCGCCAATATATCGGCCTGTGCCATGTGCGCCCAGTCATCAAGAATGTCACCATCCAGGTGCACATGCACGCCTGGTTGCCGGAAACGGTTGAAGCTGGCATTCGGAAAGTTGCTGCTGGATGTTGAGAATACGTGAATCTCAGCCGGGCCGAACATCCCTCTAAGCAGGCTCAAGAGTCCCACGTAGATTGCATCTGGCACCAAACGGTCAGGACCAGGCCACCAGTCTCTCGTGGTATGAAGTATATCCCCGCGGCGAAGATGTATGGCAATGCGAAGCTGTCCTTTTCCTGCTGTAAAATACTTCGTAGGGCGGTCGAGAAGCGTTGTGGACTGGCGAAGTCGTTGGAGAAAAGGCTGGTTGAGCAAAAACAAATCTTTCCGTTCGTGCAATCCGGTGCAGTCGTCGTTGATCAAGGCCGTTTCGCCAGCGACGAAATTAAACTTGTCTCCTTCTTCTAGCCCTCCTCGCCAACAGTGATCAAAACGGGGATTCGGAACACGCAGGCGTAAAGCAGAAAAGTTGCTGCCCATGTACTCCGTCATGAGATGGAGTGTGTCTGCGGCTGCCATTCCATGGGTATGATGCCCAGTGTCATAAGATTCTTTGTACACGAAGCCACCAAACCGTAAGTTGTAAAACGATGCAGACGCCATGTACAGCACTGCCTGCATCACGCGCTCACCCACCCCGTCAAGTCTTGCGACCGCATACATGATCGCGCTGGAATCAGAACCTTCTGGACACAAAGAGCAGTTCAGCGAAGTTGGCAGAGGATAACCTGATTTACCAGCATCGCGGCTCTTGCAGGTGTGTTTTGGTACATGATCACATGGATGTATCAATGGCACATGCCGATAGTACCCTTGTCCATCAGCAAGTCGGAACACAACTGCCGTATCAGGATCGTACGGCAATGAGCTTGAAAGGATCAACTGGCACAGGGAGGCCAAGGCCAGAACGCTTCTTCGGCACAGGCATCGCATGTTTAAAGAGCAGACTGTCCATGCCGGGAAGCGGAACAGACAGAGTAAAGTATCTGAGCTAAACGGCTACGTCCAAAGCTCACATAGAGGAATCGACCGCGTCATCAATCCCGCAATACACGTTTGCTGAAGCCTGGTGATGTTGTGCCGCCATGTGGAACAAACCCGAAATAGTTTTGTCCCACTTTTCGAAGGCCCTGGGCATTAACATGCGAATTAGTTCAATGGTTCGAGGTTCGGGGAAAGAGGCTGGCAAAACACGCCGGAGCAAGATGCTGAAAATTCGTGCAATGGCTCATTCAGCTGTGAGTCAGGTCTGCTTGCTGAACAACGGGATGTACATCAAGGGAACCTACTCAGCTCAGATGCTGTTGCGAAAATGAATCGAATCACCAATCCCCTGTCAGATGGGGCAAAATCAAAAATCCAAAAAAAACAACAAGGGACAACAGCCACATAAAGCCACCCGAAAAAATGTGCAATGCGGATGCATGGAACGGAGATATTGCAAACATGGGTGCACAGCACTACTTCGCAGGTAACACACGGGACCAAGGTTTTCCAATGACAACCCCAAACATGTCGTCCAAAAACCCGGAGGAAAGCTGCAAACCTTGCTTTCCGAACACTGCAAGGATGAAAACAACACCAAGGGCTGTTGTTATCTCGGAGTGGAAACTTCGGATTTGCCTTGTTTTGAACATGCTGCAATTTCTGCAAATATACCGCATGCGGCTTCCGAATTTTCTGAAATGACGCCAATACTGTAAATGGCGTTCGGACTCACAAAGTATGTATATACAAAGACAACCAGATGACTAAGTATGCATGAAGGCAGGTGGTGTAAAAGCATGCTATAGTGCACAATGTAGCATAATTTCAGTATGGTATGGTATGGTATGGTATGGTACAACATGGTATAGAGTACACTATAGTCGTGCAATGTAGCATAGCAAGGTATAGTATTGTACAGTATAGTATGATCTGGAATGGGACGGTACAGTATGATCATGCAAGGTGTAAAACCCTACAGTATGGCAGAGTAAGATATGGTAAAAAAAGCATTGTATGGTGTTGTGTGGAAATAAATATTTGAGATATAATGTAGTACAATTTTGCAAATTCACAGGAATCATACCACACAATTTACAATATGTGAAACCACTTCATGTTTCGCATATAACATATATACACAAATGCACTTATCGAATGTACCATAATTAAATTTCTGTTGCATGTACGCGTTACATGAAAAAATTGCATATGTATATGTAATTGCTGTAAATTTGAATGTTTAAATTGTTCTTGATATTGTACATACAAAACTTGTGCTAGATGTAGATACTGCGTCATGTACATATGCAAACATACATTGTGCTATGATAATAAACTGTAAATCAAAAATACCTATGGTTCGTGCATATACATATGAATAGATATAGATATAGATATAAATTTAGATATAGATATAGATATAGATATAGATATAGATATAGATATAGATATAGATATAGATATAGATATAGATATAGATATAGATATAGATATAGATATAGATATAGATATAGATATAGGTATAGGTATAAGTATAGATATAGATATAGATATAGATATAGATATAGATATAGATATAGATATAGATATAGATATAGATATAGATATAGATATAGATATAGATATAGATATAGATATAGATATAGATATAGATATAGATATATATAATAGATATATATATATATATTTATATATTTGTAATGTATACGTATTCCTATTCATTTACAATGTACATGGTATAATGCATATAATGTAAACCTTTTGCCGAAAAACTAAAACATCTAAAATGCATATGCAATATTCAAAATTCTGTTCAGGTTTTCTTACGATTTTTTATGTTACAGATGACGTGTTCTACATTGCTTTTACACCATAGAGTTTCGCAATCTGGGACCTTGTCTGTCGAAATTGAAAAAAATTATCTAAAAAAAACATATTGCAACATGTGCATGGAGATTGTATTTCTTGCGTGTGGAACAAAAGAAGAGACATGATGCAAACTTTTGTTTTAATGGCAACAAAAAAGACATGTTCCATGATAATGACAACAAAAGCGATTAAATTAATAGATGTCTTGAAACACATTATTCTCTGTTTCGTTCGAATCGAAATCTGACGATTTGGCAAGATAACACAGCGTATTAACTTTGTCCAGTGGCTTTGGAACTGGATTCGAACTGAGAAACTCTCTTCGAACTCCAGTTCGAGAAACTTAAGGTCCAGAAAACTCTGAACTCCCTGAACCAACTTCAGGTTCTTCGAACTCTGGGTTCAGAGACATAATTTTTTGGAGTGGGCGGGCCTCAATGACTGCGGCTCCCTACAAGAAGCCCAGCTTGCAAGACAAACACATTAAAGCGGTGAAACAAGCTGCGATGTGCGGAGCAGCACAGACCATTCAGCTTTCGGCTCGGTGTAATGTGTTTGGCGCAAAGCCTAAGAGCAATGCCTCATTGCAAATGGCTTTGCTTGTCATGTGTTGATCTTCAGCTTTCGGCCCGGGGCGTCATAATTCGCGCAGATTCTGCTTTCTCGCAAAGCCTGGAGAGCATCCTCAAGACTGCGTGAAACCGGAACGGACGGGAGAAAGCCTTCTCTTGCAAAAACTAGGGTTCAAGGACATGTCTTGCTTCAAATATAACTCATCGAACAAAAGCCACTTCTCGAAGCCGCAAAAAAGCTCACTGGCAGCTCAAAATTGGCGTGGCAGCTTGGTACCTTCCAGCATTTCTTGAACATCTTCTCTTTTTATCCGATTGACGGCGAATCCCTTGTTTTGTTTCATTGTGTGGCATCTGCAAAAACGAAACCCACACAACATCAAATATAAACCCTCCTGCAGGGCCGCTAAGATGTTTTGACTTTCTTCGAGCGAAACCAGCTTGTTTGTGGCAAGTGCTACATTTTTTAACTGCTCCGTGACCACTCCGCCCGACTGCAGGGCCGCTGAAACGTTCTTGACTTGCTTCAAACTTTACCGCTCTTTCTATTCTGGTTGACTAAAAACGTCGCATGGAGTCAAAGTCCCACTACTCCGTCGACTTGAATGCAAATTCCCACAATTCTAGCTCTTTTCACCACACAATGGCCCTGAAGACTCAAATTGCAATGGCGCTTCTTTGCTGGCAACAAGAGGTTGGTTGACAACCAGCATACTACTCACTCCCTCGAGCGCTTTGCCACTGACACTCAAGGTAGTTTAAAGAATGGAAAGATGTTGGCAGTTGCGCTCTGAAAAGTTTGTAGACACTTATTTTCCTGTGGAGTGCGCATTCGATCATGATGTTCTTCAGGGCGCCAAGCCGTTAATTTTTTTTGGCGTGGGCCGGCCTCGGAGACAGCGGCTGCTGCAAGAAGACGAGAAGAGCTAATAACTGTACAAAGTGAAACAAAAGCTACACAGACTTAGCCGGCAAAGTCGTTCAGCCTTAATTAGAATGCAATCCGTCCTACCGCGCTCGCTCACTGGCCCCGCTCCCCGTGAGCCTGGGTCGCGCAATGGCAAGCAAAATCCATGGCCCCGCTTCCCGAAAATCAGGGGTCGCGCAAGGGCTGCATCTGCATTGGCGCATCACCACTGGGTGCTGCCAGACAACTGTCCAACGGAGGTGCACATGATACATGCATCGCCTGAGGCGCGGTATGTTTACTGGAAGCGTCCGTGGTGAACGCAAGCGACACGAGCAGCAAAACCAGCAATGCCTACGGCAAAAGCATCACCAGGCCGGCGAGAGACGGATGGCCAACGAGATGACGCCATAGGATGTTGCCAGAGCGCGCGGCACTGACTCTCGGGAGCATACCCGTCATGTATCATCCCAATAATGGCCGCAAAGCCGAATGGCCAGAGCGCACGGAGCTCATCCAGACATATCTGTCCCATAGAATCTGCCGCTGCCAGTCGGCAGCATCCTCCATGTGTTCATCCTTTTGTCCATACATGAAAACCCACTCTCGGCGGTCGTAGCGCAAATTAGCTGTGGCTTGGAAAAGTAAACTCTCCGCGATGGCTTATGATAACTGGAGTATGGCCCAAAAACGGATACTGTAGGCTACTTGCCAGCTCTTCTTGCTTTCGAAACTGTCGGGCCGCTGCAATCCAATCTTCGAAGTTGAGGCCCTCGTGCAAGGTACACGGGTCATATTGGGTGCGAGCTACTGGCACGTCGGCGAAGTCACGTCGGAGAATTTCGACGTGGCAGCTCTCAAGCCTGTGATAGCATGCGACAAGTCTTGCACGATGTGGCTTCACAGAATCAATGCAAAATCGGTGCTACGGTGACACTCCTACTCACGAACACTCCTAATGCTGCCCTACGTCGTCTAAATGTGACGATGGATATTTTACATACTACATATACATCCCAAGAAAAGTCTTACAACCGACTCCAGACATGATGTCTGTGCCATACATGCACACCGCAGTGAAGTAGCAGGGTCCTTGGTTCAAGGCTGAGATATGTGCATACATAGACATGCAAAGACAGGCATTCACACAATTTCGTGCGTACACTGTTGAATGGTTTGTGAGTTCCATTACCAAACAACATCTATCTTACAAAGGTATAGTAGATTCCACGGCTGCTCCGCTCTTGCAGCTTACCAACGTTACTCCGACTTGCGACAGCCAGCACATTGAAGTGTGAGTCAAATGCGAGGTGCCAGCATCCTGGTAG